AGTGTAGCATAGTGTAAATGTAGTATTGTTGTTGTTGTTGTTGTAGTTGTAGTTGCAGTTGTAGTTAGTGTAGTGTAGCGTAGCATAGTCTAGTCTAGTCTAGTCTAGTGTAGTTGCATGTTGTGTAGTGTAGTTTAATGTAATGTTGTGTAGTGTAATGTAATTGAGCGTAGTGTAGCGGAGTGTAGTTGAATGTAGTGTAGCGTAATGTAGTGTAGTGTAATTGGGTGTAGTGTAGTGTAGTGTAGTGGAATGAAGTGTAGTGTAGTGTAATGTAGTGTAGTGGAGTGTAGTGTAGTTTAGTGGAATGTAGTGTAGTGTAGCGTAGTGTAGTGTAGTGTAAGTGAGTGTAATTGAGTGTAATTGAGTGTAATTGAGTGTAATTGAATGTAATTGACTGTAATTGAATGTAATTGAGTGTAGTGTAGCAAAGTGTAGTGGAGTGTAGTGGAGTGTAGTGGAGCGTAGTGTAGTGTAGTGCAATGTAGGGAAGGTGTAGTTGTAGTTATAGTGTAGTGTATTGGAGTGTAGTGTGGTGTAGTGGTGGTTGTAGTTGAAAATGCTACAAAACCCTCACGTTTTGCTCACTTTTGATAAGGTGCGCAATCCCTTGCGCCTGCCAGGCGAAACGACATCTGAACCTCCAAAAGTGGTCCGAACCCCTGGTGTTTTTACCATTTTGACTTCGAAATGTGCTTCGCGCCACAACCGCGTGCACTTTTTAGACATCTCAACTTCCAAAAGTGGTCCGAACCTGATGTGTTTTCAGCTTTTTCTTGCAAATGTGCTTCGCGCAACAACGGCGTGCACTTTTTCGACATCTCAACTTCCAAAAGTGGTCCGGAGCTGGTGTGTTTTCTACATTTTGAGTTCGAAATGTGCTTCGTTCCACAACGGCGTGGAATTGTTCATCTCTCATTTGGCCAGCGGGCTCCGCACCCGCCGCTTTAGCGAGCCTAATTTTCGACCCTCCGGAGCCACAAATCATTGGAAAACACAGTGCTTGGCGGTTTTCCTGCCTTTTCGCACACCTGGATCTTCTTTCTTCTGAGACTTTCTCTTTTTGATCTTCTTTCTTCTTCTCTTCTCTTCTCTTCTCTGACCTTCTCTGACTCTTCCCATCTCTGCTTTTCATCTGTCCATATTGTCGGAAGTTTGACTTCTAAACTTCCTTCGGTTCACCCATGAATTACCTGAAGCAACATATCTATTACATCGTAGACTGACACATTTACAGCATCACCAAGTCAGTCAGCCGTTGCCAGGACGTCTTGGAGAAGCAGGCCACAGATCTCAGCAAGCAAATCTCCACCAGCTTATTGCGGCACCAGGCGCCCACCCCTCCCCCATGTGGGCAAAAACCACCATCAAGTGATGGAGAAAAAAACACAAGTCCTGCTTAGAGTATTGGCTATTTGGTTGGTCTAAAGATCTTTTGGGTGATGACTATCGTATGTGATTTTTTGATGTTCTTAATTTATCTGCGATTTTAAAAGCTGGTTGATACCATTGAATTAGTTTGTAAAACACCAAGCTGACCGGGAATTATCCATCCAAAATGTATGGTTTAATGGTTTAATTAATGATCTTTACTGCTCCAAATGATCCATCAAAGTGGGGCCATTGGTATCCAAAATTTCAGCTCGTACTTCAGAACTCTAGTACACACCTGTAGCTTTGGAGTGCCATTCTGTTGTTTATGGGACATCTTAGCACATTTAACTCACATTGGGGGGCCGGCGGCATATTATTTTCCAAGCTTAACAATTCTTCAGCCCCCCTCTTTAGTGATCCCTTGGGGACATTGTGGCAGGACTCACTGAAGCACTGAGGGCCGGCGATGACCCGGCGATCTTGTGGCGCGGTTAACCTCCAAAAAGTATATATTCTATCAGTAAGACTCGAGAGGATGATATCGTCAACATGGATTGTGAGCCAGCATATAAAATATGTTAAACATATACATAATACAATGCATAATATACATATTGTTTTTTTGTGTAACCACCAGTTCACATTCATAGCTGCACCCGCAACAAGTTATGGAACCCAAGTAGGTGAAGTTTGGAGACCACACTAAAAGGTGACAAGATGCTGCAATGATGCTGCCAGTGGTGATATCTGGCTTGTCAAGGACTAGGTTGCAACGACTGAAACCGTGGCAGGTATCTGAGAGTTGGTTAGAACATGTTTAAACCGTTTTAACCCATGTCAATGGAAGAACTTTGAGAATCGTGTGCAGGAAAAGATGCAAGCTATGGCCAGATTGAGTTTTCTGTAAATGGGTGTATGCTGATTGGGGAGATGGTTCGAATCGATATGCTGGAGCCGAGTTGAAAGCAACAAAGTCGCTCCAATCCTGTCAGTGTCTCAGGTGCGTCGTGTGTTGGTCCAGAAGGCCACAAATTGTTTTTGTGTTTGAGTGTGGATGTGTTTTTGCATCGTTTCCCATGGTAAATGACACTACATGGTATACTAAACTAGTTAGGACATGTTAGGACTAGTTTGTTCCCCACCTGCCAGGTGAGGGTTGTTAGATTTTATGTCAGTTGCCTCCTCGTCCTCCTCCTCCTCCTGCTCCTCCTGCTCCTCCTCCTCCTCCGCCTCCTCCTGCCTCGTCCTCCTCCTCCTCGTCCTCCTTGTCATTCTTGTCGTCCTTGCTCAACTGCGACCCGCGATCCACAGTGTTCCCTGCCGGACCTCAACCACGACCATCCACGCCCAGTGTTCCCTGCCGGACCTCAACCACGACCATCCGCGCCCAGTGTTCCCTGCCGGACCTCAACCACGACCATCCGCGCCCAGTGTTCCCTGCCGGACCTCAACCGCGACCATCCGCGCCCAGTGTTCCCTGCCGGACCTCAACCGCGACCATCCGCGCCCAGTGTTCCCTGCCGGACCTCAACTGCGAGTATCCACGCCAAGTGTTCCCTGCCGGACCTCATGTAGTCAGATAGACTGCCAGATAGAATGCCAGATAGAATGTCAGATAGGATGCCAGATAGAATGCCAGATAGAATGCCAGAAAGAATGCCAGAAAGAATGCCAGATAGAATGCCAGATAGAATGTCAGATAGGATGCCAGATAGAATGCCAGATAGAATGAGAAAGAATGCCAGAAAGAATGCCAGATAGAATGCCAGATAGACTGCCAGATAGAATGTCAGATAGAATGTCAGAATATCCAGATATAATGCCAGATAGAATGCCAACATATATGCCAGAATATATGTCAGATAGAATGCCAAAATATATGTCAGATATAATGCCAGATAGAATGCCAGAATATATGCCAGAATATATGTCAGATAGAATGCCAGAATATATGTCAGAATAAATGACAGGTAGAATGCCAGAATATATGTCAGATGAAATGTCAGAAAATATGTCAGATAGAATGCCAGATAGATTGCCAGATAGAATGCCAGGTGGAATGTCAGGATATATGCCAGATAGAATGCCAGAATATATGTCAGATAGGATGTCAGAATATACTAAATATATGTCCAAATATACGTCCTGACATGTCATGGTGGGGATCACACGAAGTAGAGTAATTGCTCTTGTTTTTTCCAAAAAAGAGCTGGTTTGTGGTCTCTAAACTCTTTGTGCAAGTCCAGCAATGCAAACGCGCTGCTGGACGGTAGGTTTTCTCTGAAACTGTGTGGCTGTGTCAATTCGTTTGGGGTGTTAGTTGCGATCTTCATCACTTCATGGGAAGTCTCAGATTCCATTCACCATTTTTGGTTATGTTCTGATATTGATTCTGATAGAAATTGAGATGTTCTGTTTCGACCACAGCGACCATGACTATCGGGTTTTCAGCACAGCACAAAAAACATTCCAAATGGAAGGATGTGGCTGCATCGCCAGCTGGTTGGTGGTTTCGCTGTCTGCTGTTTGTTTATCGGATCGTTCCAGATGAATCGTTGATAAACCTGGGAATCATGGATTGATCTGGGTTATTTGATATCATGTTACCCTCTGGTTATTTAACATTGCCATAGAAAATCACCATGCGATTAATAGGTAAACCGTAAACCATCTTTTTCTATGGGCCATGGCTTCCATGGCGAACTGTTAGTCATAACCAGGTGGTAATCCCGAAATAACACTATTTTGATTATTTTGATAGGAGATGTGCTGAAACCAACCAGCCAATGTCTATAGCTACGTTTGATGCCTGGAGACTGTGTCCGATTGTGCATCGAAAAGTTGCGAGACGGAGACGTTGGTTGATTGTTGGGGAAACTTCGGGTATGATGTGGGTAAAGCAATGCCATTTTTACCACCCATGACTGGGAATGGTAACCATACCACCTGTACAAATGATGACTGTGGGATGGTTTATGATTGTTTTATCGTGTTTTACCCACATTAGAAAAACGCTGTTTGCTACAGTATGGATCAAGATTCGTGTGTTTGTTTCCTAGGGAAGATGTCTTCGTCTTTGCAGGGATTTGATGGTATTTGCTTGTATCGAAGTTTGCCAATCCAGCAGATGTCCAGACGATGTTCACTGGGTGCCCAATTGAGATATTCCAACCCGTGCGATCCAATTACTTATATCTTCTAGCTATCACTTAACAATGAACTCTATGTGTGTTGCAAGTTGTGCTCTGAAATGCCGAATATTGTTAGTTAAACATAGTTAAATCCCTATAAGTTAAGTTAGGTCCGTGTTTCGTATCGTCAATTTTCCAAGTATCCAGGTACCAAGTGGAATGATGCTCAGGGCACCCCACGAGTCTGATCGAAATCAAAATATCGCAGCTGGGTTCAGCCACGATCACATGCCCAAGTTGGACAGATGGGAGTTCAGCGCAGGTTGCTGACTCAGAAATAAGGATGTGTATCAATACATACATATAATGGGATTGTGTATATACATACATATCACAGATGGTATGCATGTAGTTACTTGTGTATAATTAGTGGTATTACATGGTGATATGTGACATGATATGATATCCAAGATCACAACTTAAGTGTCACGCTCACGCTTGAGACCTTCCATTCAATCCGCAGAGTGGAGCACCACTTCTGCAGGTGAAGGCGCGTTCCATCCTACTTGGGAGGATGATCCCCATTCTTGGTGAGCATTTTTGTTATATTTTTGTCAGGCTGGTTGAAGCCACCAAGTGATCTGTATGCGACCATCTGAAGATGTCAACGCAACTGTGGGGGGCAGGACAGTGGTAATCCACCCAAATGTACCCAGCCCTCGCACCCAGAGTCTCTGGTTTAGGGGGATCATTTTGGGTTATGTAATATTACAGATGGGATAATGCCAGGGTTTTAAGCCATGCTCACCTTGGGCCATGCGATTGATACACCCAAATTATTAGTGTCCCATGTCCATTCTTTGGTGCATTTGCAGCAAGTTGCATGTTAAGCGACGTTGAAGCAAAGTCACAATACATATATGCATATATGGATATACTACAGATATACTACGGATATACATGCAATATCACGCAATTATATTGCATAAATGAATATATATACTATATCGTTGGTCATGAATTTTTGAAGAACAACGTCCTTTGCCTTAAAAAAATGGACGATTAAAAAAGAGAATTTGAGGCTTCCCAAGTGAAGAATGTCCCTGGATCGTGCATTCAATTTGTGAAGCGTCCATCCTACCCATTTTTGCAAGACGCCTTTGATGACTGACCTACATATGTTTTTGAAAAGTGGGAGATTGAAACCACCAACTGGATATATACCCCTTTTTGATGGTCAACAAATAGCGATCCCTAATGTTTTTCCCATCCCAAAAAGCGAGGTGCAACAAAAATGGTGCGAAGGGAAGCTTTGGGATGCGCAGGTTGGGACAGCTGTGACCGCCGTGTATACATCGGGGGGTATCCAGCAAAGAAGCAAGTATTACCTGCATTGAGCAAAGACATTAAAGCATGTAAAATATGTTCTTTAGTGGAGCAGTGGAGCAGGTAACCAGCCAAACACAGCTTCTTGTTGATTCCTAACTTTGAAAAATCTGATGTTTAACGAGGAAAGAGTAGCAAGTAGATGGATTGTTGCTGCTCGCCACAAAGTTTGGCGTGTTTATTGATTTGTACCAATTGAAATTTAATGTCCCACCTCTTCAATTTCACCAGCGAGGATTCAGCGCTGGCTATTTATTGTTTTGTCAGTTTTCCCTATATATTCGTATTTGTATTTATATCTTAGACAGATCTGTAAATATATTTATATATTATCTACATTGTACATGTATGTGTATGTATATATATATATATTATATATTCTTCACTGCGCCTTCGGAGCTCCATCTCTGCCGCACCTGAGTGAAACCTAGCTCCACGGCGAGGCACAAGCAGGCACTTACAATGGAACAAGACCTCAGTCGGCCGTGATCCACCTGGCCGCGCTGGCGCCAACGGAGCGCCAGACAGGGTGCTTCACACCGTGCCTGGGGATCCAGCGCACCCGACATAGTGTTAATCGGATGCCGCACAAGAACACTGCACCTAGAGTGAGATCGGAAAATCAAGAACTGAAAAGCAAGGATGCCCAGCAGCACCCGAGCACAAAAGTATGGAAAATCAAACTGCCTCACTGCCCGCTCAAAAGGTGGTGGTCATCACTCAACGCCGGGTTCACCTATAATCTCTTGAATCTGTCTTTCAAGTGCACCACGAGGAGCTGTGCCATCTTTGCGCAAACCTCCACTTTTTTCCATGCCATCCTGCAAGACAGTCAGCACATCACTCAGAGCACCTGGAGCGACCGAGATCTGGAGACGAACCTTGGTCTGGTCATATACTTTGGACACTCGACAGTAGAGGACCTGATCGCTCAGCACAGCCGGATCGGTGACAGAATCACAATGTTGCTTCACCATGGCACGCTTCTCCTCAGACAGGGCTTCGTCTTTCAAGGCGGCTTGGGTCAAAGCAGCCCATACCCACGAAGACGGCTGTCCCAGGGTGTGATTCTTTCCCGCAGCGCGAGCTCTCTGCGCATATGTCTGGCCGGCGGCCGAAGCAGCCTGAGCATACGCACCCTCCTTGGCCAGGATATAGGTGACAAAAACTGCACTTTCAAGGTTGCGGCAGACCTGCGTTCTTCAACGTCAGGCGAGCCACAGCAGTCAAGAGCTGCTCATTGTCCTTGGAGCTTCGGCCGGTGCGAGGTCGCACCTGCCGTTCAGCACCTGCACCATTGGGGGCGGCGCCGAACCAAGAGTCCATGGCTGAAGGCTCGGTCTCTACTTTCCAACTACTGCTGAGCCGCAATGAGGTACTGGTGCAAAACATGTTGGCCAGCGGGGACGTGGCCCACCACATGTGTCTGCAAGGTTTCCAAATCAACTGCTTCATGAGGACAGACTGGACATCGAAAAGTTGGAGGGGGACGCAATTGCTCCACCATGCCAGCAGCATTCCCCCCTTGTCGAGGGCAGTGCCCTTTTTTTTGACACGGGCATGAGCATGACGTTTGGCAATCTCAACGGAAGCAAAGATCCTACGACACCACGGGCACTGATTGCAAACCACAATTTGTCGTGCAGTGATGCGCACACCATGAAGGCGATGTCTGTGTGTGGAAAGGGCCGTTGTGGATTGCGCGGTGTAGCCACACTGTGCCCCATCAGCACCAATCCAGTCACAACGAAGTGGAGCCGGACCCACAGGCGCCACCTCATCTGCATTCTCCACTGGCGCAAGTCCAAGCGCTGCCAACTCCTCTCTGTATTTACGCACCAGCAGGGTCCTGATAGGAAGATTGACAAACAAATCTTTGCAAGGATGAAAAAAAATCGACAGTGGCTGGTCAGCCACCAAATTTGGCTCACCCAACTTGTCCAAATCTTCCACCAGTTCCCGCAGCCATGGGTTTGCAAGAGCAGTGACTCTCCCATCCACCCCAATAGGCGGCCCATTTTCCCAGCCATATTGTCCAAAAACTGTGGCCAGTAGCGACACATTGTCGCCAGGGTGCCGGGCGATGCTTTGCCACCAGAGAAGACGGCGGGCTCGGCGCTCCCAGGCAGGCGGAAAGATTTGCAAAAGTTCAAACACAGCCGAATTTGACAAGCTGCGATGGTGGCCGTGAGCATCTTCGTGTGGCTTGAGGCAGGCACGTCCTTGGCAAAATTTTCGAGCCAGAGCGGCAAGCACTCTTCCAAGTCGGACATTGTCACCATCATGAGTCTGCAGAGTTTCAATACCTGAGTACAAAGGAGACACCACCATAGCCAAGAAGACCAACCGCCGTTGAGATGCAGCAACCCCGCGCGTGAACCAAAACTTGCGCATGATTGCCCAATTTCGCTTGGCCACAGCAATGCGATTGGAGACTTCAGGGGATGTGGCTCCAGAATGGTGAAGGAGACTGCCCAAGTATTTGCACACTCTTTGGCAGCGGCCACGAACTTGTATGTGTCCGTGGTAAATGCGCTGCATTGCCAGCTGGGCCCCTTTGCCCATAAGGCGGACCAAAAGCTCTTTTTTGTCATGGTTTTGGCCCATGTGAAGCCGACCCAAGCACGCATCAAAATGCGAGTCCAAGGTTTGCATGGTGGGTGAAAAATCAGCAATGCGAGGAACCACATGAGTTCTAGCAACGTCATCTGCAAATGTGCTGAGCGCTGTGTCCACTTGCAAGCCAGAAACAGGGTCCCGAAGTACAAACTGACCACCATGCTCCATGCGCCTGCATCTGTCATTCCACTCGTCCAGAGCAGGGTGGTATACCGCCAAAAATTGAGACGGAGCCACCCGGTCACCTTGCAAGTTGCCACAACCAATCTGAACCACTGTAAATTCAGGTTTGAAAGGGTCGCGCACCAGAATGAAAGCAGCACGGTGGCGCAAGCAAAGCAAATTTACGTCCGCAGGTCGGCAATTGGAACAAACAGCCAGGTCCAAGCTTGCGTGCGATGGTGATGGAAACGCGTTTTTGACATCATAGAGCACACTAACCCGGCTCTGGCCAGTTTTCTGCAATTTCCAGTTGAGACACCGTTGTTGCAGTATTGCCTGCTCCCTGCGTCTGTGGCGCAAAAAGCCGCATGCATAGTGTCTGGCAACATCGCCTTGCCGAGTCCAGAGCATGTGAAAAAAACTCTTCCCAATCGGATCCAGCTTGTGAATGAGGCGCTTGCCTGCACACCCGCGTTTCCCATTCGACTTGTCAAGCTCAACTGGTGAAGAAAAGATTCCATAGCCAAGGCACTTCTTGATTGCGTCGCGCCAAATAGAGCAAGGTGCGCAGCAACCCTTCACAACTGCCATGCGTGCCAGGAGGCAAAGTGTGCCCCTGGGAGAGATGCTCTGCAGGAAATAGAAGGAGTCGCCAAACTTCCGCAGGAGCACTCCACTCCGGCACCGAGCGGCCACGCCGCAGGCTGCGAACACTTGCGCAAAGACCCGCAAAATCTTCGTTGGCCAAAGTTTCAGCATGGACCTCAACTTGCACCGGAGGGATGGACATTGGTGAGCCATTGTAATCAGCAAAAGAACCCAAGGTGGCTGTGCCCACATCCAGTCCAGAAACCACTTCGCTTGTGGAAAATGCGTTGAGTGTGCGAGCTGAACAACCACCTGCAGGGCCGGATTGCACCAACTCTTCCACCCATTCAGAAGCTGTAGGGCGGAACCTCTGCGGCATGTTGTAGCGCCGCTTTTTGGGCCCGTGGCTGCCCCCAGCCAGCTGGTAAGCCAATTTCCATTGCAGAGCCAAATCGCTCCGGCGAGCCGCAGACGCCAGTTGTTCCACCAACTCAGAGCGACGTGCTCTTTTGTCCCGGCGGCAGAGCCGTTTTGCTTGCCGTTGCAATTGCACAAAACGCACATGGGCCATCCACACACGCCAGTAAAAACGCTGTGGCAGAAGGTCTCTTGGGGAATGTTGCGAGCTCTGCACTGCATCTCGGTAGCGCAGTCTGGCCGCCAATGCCTGTTCAGCAGCGTGAACTGTATCAGCTGGTTTGCGAGCGCGGCCAGGCGGCGCAAGCTGAAAGTGCTTCTGCGCTGTTGAGCACACCACATTGTTGAGCTGTCGCCAGGCAGCAGCCACAGTGTGTGGAGCTGTTCCATTTTGCTGGAGTTGAACCTGCTGCAACCCACGTTCGGCTTCTTGAAGGAATTGCGTTTTGCAATCAGAGCCTTGGATGGCTGCGGCCAACTTCGAAAAGTCCCATCTTTGCTCCGAAACTTTGTGATCAAAGTGGATCTCGTACCGAAAGTCAGCAACCACTGGGCAATGGTCCCGGAGTGCAGGGCTGTCAACCAGCTGCAGGCGAAAGGCACTCCGATACCAAACTCGAACTTTGCAGACATGTGGCAAGAGACCAGCAGGAACCAAGACATAGTCAATACGAGAGGCATGGTGGGCGCCATGAAACGTTTTGCCACATCCGTGCCTGTCGTGAGTGTTGGTTGCTGCCAAATGATGTTGCAACATGAACTCGTGTAGCTTGGAGCCGTTGTAGTTTTCCACCTCGGCACCCCATGCACCCACCGCAGCATCATTGCCTGGCAGTACTTGCCACGGCCCTGGGCCTGCTCTGTGTAGCCCTGTCCGGCCGTTGGCATCCAGTAACAGAACAGGAACTGTCCGCACTGGAGCATCCGACAAGAGGCGATCCAGCCAGGAAAACAATGCATGGACTCCACGCCGTTGCGCTTGATTGCTGGGCTCCACTGGCACATATCCCACAACCAGCAAAAAATCTGCACGCGCGCCCTTGAGGCGCAAGGCGCCGGCGCGACCTGCCAAGCAGTCTGGAGGCGAATAAATTTGTCTGATGTGATGCAAACGAAACTTCTGGTGTTTGAGCATGAGTGCCACCCCACATGATTTGTTGGAAAACACGCCGCTTCCGTACCCCCACTGAAAAACATGATGCTGCGAACTCCGGAAGTAGCTGCATGGAAAGTCTTGCTCTGCCCGGCTACACAACCCTTGGACTCCCACAACATCCACTGTTTGCATTTCTCGCGACAGCACATCCCAGCGGCCCATCCGGACCATAGACATGGCATTGTATGTTCCCACTCGCCACATTGGCAAGGAATCAAAGGTGGAGGGTGGCGGCAACTGAGGATGTGGCTTATCATCAGCATGACTAGGGCACCCCACATCTGGGTTGCAGGGTTTGGCAATTGGATGTTTCCTCTGTGCTTTAGGTTTGCCTTTTGAACGGCGGTAGCAGGCTTCTCGCACGGCATCATCTGCTTTCTGTCGGGCAGGTCCTGTCATACATTAGCCTGCCGTGCCACCATGGCCCCTCGGCCGTGCTACCTCGCCCTGTCTTGGGGAACTTGAGAGTTCACAGGGCTATATATATATATCCAACAACCCTGCAGTGCAAAGATTTGGGCGCTAGGGTGGTCACGACTTTGTGACTATTTTACGGTTGGTCAACTGTTTCAGTCTGAATTCGCCAGAATTGTGAGGAACAAAGGATCTCATCAAAACAAAAAGATGCTTTTTGTTCTGCCGGGTACTGGTGTCATCTGGTATATACATGGGTCATTTCCCTTCTGATGAAGTTGTTATCAATCCTGGAAGGTCCCTGCCTTATTCCACTGGCATGGTTTGCAGCATGACCCAATGCAGTCTATGCCGGCCCTTTGGATTCCTTGGGTTCGCTACCAGGTATGGTAATCCTCTTTTGTTGGAACCCATGGATTCGGGATGGTTGCCTCCCTGTTGGATCCAGACTGGTAGCGCTGAAATCTCCAGGTCTTCTGCTGGCATTCAGCTTGAGAGCTTTCGTCCATCCTGACGTACCATGCAGAGGTGCTGGGATGATGTGACCATGTGACCGGAGCTGAGCTTGGGCATGTCGGCAAAAAGAATAGGTTCAAAGGCCACAACATGGATCAAAAATAGTAATGTTAATGTTGGTAAAGCAATAATAAACAAGCCATTTGGGAATGGTAACCATACCATCTAGAAAAATGGTGATGACTGTGGGATAGTTTATGGCATTGTTTTTCCCACAATTGTCACATTAGAGGAATTCGATCATACTCCGTCCCCAGTTGATCAGTATATCTGTCCCGAATTGGTCAGTATAGCTTACATGATCATTTATTTTTAAGCGTTATCATATGTTCTTATATATGTCCATATGTTCTCATATATAATCATATGGTATCATATGTTATCATATACATATATTATCATTTTATCATATTATCATATGTTATCATACGTTATCATATGTTCTCATACATTATCATATGGTATCATATGTTCTTAGATATTATCATATGTTATCGTATTTCTCACATATTATCATATATTCTCATACGGTATCATATATTATCATATCTTCTCATATACTATGATATATTATCGTATGTTGTCATATGTTATCTTATGTTGCCATATATTATCATATGGTATCATATGTTCTCAGATATTATCATGTACTATAATATGTGTTCGTTTATTATCATTTAGTATCATATGGTATCATATGTTCTTAGATTGTGTCAGATGTTATTATATGTTCTTATAGGTTATTATATATTATCATTTATTATCATATAGTATCACATATTATCATATATTATCATATATTATCATTTATTATCATATATTATCATATATTATCATTTATTATCATATATTATCATATATTTTCATATATGTTCATATATTATCATTTATTATCATATAGTATCACATATTATCATATATTATCATATATTATCATTTATTATCATATATTATCATATATTATCATATATTATCATATATTATCATTTATTATCATTTATTATCATATATTATCAACGTATATATATATGTATGTGTATATATATATATATAGAGATATTATCAATATGTTTCTCGCATTTATATCCCTGAAGTGGGATAAGTGAGGTGGCAACCCACCGGCCTTGACTAGGCCACATGGCCCGCTTGGCGATGAGAGCCAAAGGTGCTGAGGTCGATGGGTGGATGGTTGGATAGATCGATAGATCAGACATGGGGGTTCCACAAATGATGGTATATATGGTTCATGCCACGCATTTGGGAATGGTTTGTACCAACTATTTATGGTGAAATGATGATTAATGATGATGATTAACGGTTAATAAATGGTTGAACCATGATTAACCATGATTAATAATGATGAATAATGGTAATTAATGATGATTAGTCATGGCTATTAATGATGATTAATGGGGAATCCCCAAAAATGGATGGTTTATAATGGACAACCCTGTGAAAGTGGATGATTTGGGGGTACCCAGATTTTAGGACACCTCCATATGTTGATTGAATGTTCAACACCAGAAACAGTTGGGATGCTTATCTTAAGTGAAGAGCATATGTTTTTGTTTGTTTACATATGTATATATATATATATATCATTGTTGTTGCCATACTTTGGATAGCCAGGTGAGGGCCTGATGGATCAAACATGATCAAACTGTTCTGTCTGGTGTCTCTATCTATCAATATCTAGTGTTTGACATTCTCCATCTATCACAGCTTTAATAATATAAAATTTAAGCAATTGTTTTTTGATGTCTCCATCTATATGGATATATGCATATATATATATATACATCCATATATATATTATAGATATAAATGTATCTCCATATATATATATATGGATATATCTCCAACCTACCTACTCGTACCACTTTGGTGACCTTCCAACTGCAAACGCGCGCAAACGCGCGAGGTGAAGGGTGACCTGCAGCCGCTCTACGACTATGTTTTGGTCAAGTCCAAGGACCGTGTGGCGGGCCGAGCGATGGGAAATCCCCGTCCTGGTCTCGGGAAGTGAGAGTCTGATGGTGCGATTTACCCACTAAAAATGGTGATGGTATGGGATTTCATGGGAATTTATGGCGGTTTAATGGGATCTAATGACATTTAATGGGATTTACCCTCTTGTAAACTAACAGTTTGCTATGGAAAATCACAACTTTTAATGGGAAAATCAACTATTTCTATGGGCCAGTTTCAATAGTTATGTTAAATTACCAAAGGGTAATGGGAAATATTTTTGTTTAATCTTTACAACATCTCATGATATGTATTTGTCATATCTATAGATGGGAAAATAATCCGTTTTTTTTCGGAATGGATTAATAAGGGATATCTATAGATGACAAAATGTTGGTTTACTAAACGGGATATATGATATATAGCTAAAATCATAAGATATTCTTAACCGTAGGTTTAATCAACCACCTGTTTTCAAAATGGATTGGTATGATGTGTCCACTATGATATCTTGGGCTGAAAACTCAGTTTTTTTTGGGTGAAAAAAAACACTGGCAAATCCACCATGAATCGATGATGTTTCAGTAATCTCATGTTTAAAAGATACCCTCTGGTAAACAAACATAGCTATTGAAAATGGCCATTTATAGTTGATTTACCTATTAAAATCTATTAAAAATGGTGGTTTTCCATAGCAAACTGTTAGTTTACCAGAGGGTATCCCATTAATGAGTCCATGTCGATATGCTGTTTTTTGTCCATGATGACCTCCATTTCGTCGCTTTCCGTTGGGTGCGGATCGTGTCCACCAAGAAGCTGTAGAAATTGGGCAGACCCTCCAAGTGCGCAGGAAAACTGGTAAAAATAAGACTAAAATCTGTGGTCACCTTTTATGGGTATTCCCAAATTCGCAAAAATAGATGGTTGAATGCACAAGTCACAAAACCACTCACCACTCACAACCAAAAACTGACCGGTCCTAAATCCCAAGGGTTCCAAATGTTTGACCCATACCAATGCCTCTCTGCTGAATGTGAATCGTCTCATTTGTTGGGTCGGTTTCTCAACGATAATATTTTTTTGAAAACCACCATAATTAATGTGCCGCCTGGTTTCCTTGATCATATATTCCCATGATTCTACTATGGGTGTTACACTTAATTTGTTTGTTAAGGCAGACTTAAAATTACAATTTCACTTCAACTCCGCATAAATAAATAAATATATATATATATGTGTATATATATATATATAAAAGCCATACATGGCTAAAGATCCCCTAAAGGAACATGTTGTGTTTTGCAGGCATATCTTGAGCGTTGTTGGGTAGCTTTTGCGACAGGAGGCTGTCACCAGCACCAAGAGCGGACTGCTGCTCCCCACTTCTTCGGACCGGTTTCGGGTAGGGAGATTGGTGTGATATCTATGACCTGGATTTAGAATCCCTTCCGTTCCCTTCCCTTCCGGAAAACCCTGGAAAACCGCCCCAGCAACGCCTAGTTAAAAGTATCGGATCTATTCATGTTGAGGGCGCTGACCGGAGATATTTTACATGTTTAGGCACATGGTATTGACATTGAGCAAAGTTCTAGCCATAAAGAACGGGTGTGTTCGGCATGTCCTTTCTGCTTAGTCAGCAACACTCCACAGATCCATTTTGTCCGAACAGTACACCCAATCCGAGTGTCAAAACTCAATTTCACCAATTCTGGAGTATACATGGGTATACCGCATATCCGGACCCAAATATCAGAGTCGACTGGTCAATTACATTCCATGACATCCCCGCTATCTCACCCGGTTTGTTGGTTGAACTGCCATTATTTAGGGTTACCTATGCATTGGGTCAAGCGTGGATGGGTAGTGTTCTTTTCTTGCTGAAAGTTGGGAAAGAATATGGTAACTGAAAGCATAGATTTTTCTAGATAATTATAGATATAGTTATCTCAGTTATCTCCCACAAAGCCAGATCTTCTTGAAGTTTTGCAGCAGATCTGAAGGTTTTTATTAAACCGCTCCAGCCAGGAGAAACCCAGTGAGGGCGAAGTGGTGGCCGTCGGCCCTGGCTCAGTGAAGGAGCCCTTGAGATGGTTGTTCATTTTAGTTCGACCACGAGATGTCCATTATCTAGTTGGAGGTTTCAAACATTTTTCCATAATATATGGGAAAATTCTTCCCATTGACTAATATTTTTCAAGATGGTTAAAACCACCAACCAGTTATGGTTCATTATATGAGAATTATATATATATATATGGGAATATCATGATTGTAACATATGTATACATCATTAAATGGGAGTTATATGGGAGTATCATGACATCATAAATAGTGATATGATGTTTGCCCGTTATATATATATAGTCCATGATATCCCATTGCCACGTTTGATTGCTGGAGGGTATGTTGTTCAATTGTGAATGGGATGAGCCATGATGAGTCCAAAAGTTTCGAATGCGTCCCGCTCTTGGACTGGCTGCGAGGGGGATTTCCGAAGTGGCTTGCAAAACTCCCCATCACAGCTCAACATGAGTTGAAACAGTGTCAGTCCAAAAGGAAATCCACATGTTCAGCTCAAAAATGAGACTTCCATGATATCATGATCTTCCATGTACATGAGTCTTGAGTCCTGAGGTCACAAGTGTTTTTGGTCTCAGTATTTTTCATCAGTCTCTGTTCGGTCAACCAGTGATTGGTGCTTTTGGGGCGCGGTCCTTAATGCTTCGGAAAATACCAGGAGAACGGCGTGCAAGTCCCCGTTTGGGCGCAGGTGAAGTGGTGGGACTGTGGGTCAGCTTTCCTCACAGGGTGGGTGGTTTGAAACCACACCCCTCAGCACATAGATGTTGCCCATGTTTCATTTAAAAAAAAATCATTTTCTTGAGACTTTCTTGAGTATTCTCCAGTAAAGTACATAATATGGATATGGAAAAAAAACACAAAACTTCTAGATGACTTCCCAGGCAAACCAATGGATTATATGAATTTTATCACCTAGGCCACTCAAAGTTCGTTCAAGTAACTTAGGAGGGAATCAATCATTACAATAAGCCTGTTTTTTCTGGTCATGTTGGTGTAATTTTTGGCACCTGCAGGCTGGGATGAAGATCTTACATGGCAAGTACGGGGTTGAAGAGGTCCTTGACCTCAGAAACGTCGTCCATACAGGAAGCGTGGAGGACACAGTGCATGATGGTGAAACGGAAGGGGGGCGATTTTTTGGTTGGTGAATGATTTTTCAGGCAGGCTTTGAGGTATTTGAGGTGTTGGGCAGTCAACATGAGTATGTTCAAAAATGTCCGGCCCATCGAAGCTGCACTGAACTCTGGGAGTTCGAAGCGCGACGGCAAATTCTGGTAACGGAAAGAAGTTGTGAAGAACGATGTGCCAAAGACATGCAGAGCTTTGAAATGCTTTGAACCAGTTCAAGATTCCCTATGTTACTACGTTGAGCTGATAAAAAGTCCATGCTTCCATCATGTTTGTATTTTGGCGGATAGATCCCATAGCTCCCAGCACCAGAGTCCCAGGTCATTTACAACGATGAAGACCATGTGTTGGTGGAGAGCTGAGAAACGTCGAACATGTCGAAATTCCGATGTGTTTCCCCAACAACAACTGAATGTTTCATGGATATGGGATGTATATGTAAGCCAATTGCTGCCAACGGATCGCTAAAGAGCTGAACAAATGGCAGTAGCTCCTCTTTCTCACCTGTGCAAAGCCAGTTTCTACCTTCAAATCCAATGGCTTATCATCATGTTGCCTATTAGAATGGCTACGACTGGAGGGTATACAGAAAGTGTTGCGAGATGTTGCGAGGTTTTGAGACATTCCTTTGATTGAATTTGAGTGCCCTTTGAGGGCCCTTTGATCATCTCTATGCCTCAACATCTTCCATTGTAGACGACGTCGTATGGAAAACGGCACTCAAAACAAAAAAAATGTGTACCCTCTGGTAATTTGACATAGCTATTTAAAATTGCAATTTATAGTTGATTTACCCATAAAAAAAGGTGATTTTCCATAGTTATGTTAATTTACCAGAGGGTACTTTAGATGTTTGACTCCCAGAATTTGGGATTTCTGGTGCTTCCATTGCCATGCGAAAATCTCACCGTCACTGCCGACTGGGTAGTCGGCTTCCTTTTTTCGCAATGTTCTAACTGATACCACGCAATGTCATAGCAAGTACAGCGAAGAACTATGGGATGTGTAGGAGATATTCAAATCCATTCAAATACAGTTACTGCGAAAACATCGAATGACATCATTCCAGTAACAGTTTTGAGATATTCTAATCATTTCTGATGTCTTTTTGGTATCGGACACGATGTTCTAATTGGAACATCGACGTCGGACTCCATGGAGAAAAAAAGGGCTCTGCCAAGCATGTGGTATGGGATAGCACGCATCTTCATTTCATTCTTGTTTTTTTAGCTAAAGTTGCGCGACCCAGCCTAGCCCCGGTGTGCCGAGAGGAAAAATTCAATCTTGAGTTTTCTTCAGTCTTCCACTGAGTCACTAGATTGTCAACCCTGGATTAATCAGCCTCGACTCTGGGTCGATTGATTGATTTATGTGTGTCTAGCCCAAGAAACGATTGAACTATGTGTCCAATTCTGCCCGCAAAATGGTCCCCTCCAATTTTCAAGAGCCGAGGGATCATACTCAATACTACAATATGAATCAATAAGAATCTAAGGAATCGCTATTCTTTCACATTTATCCATATTAATCCATAGTCATCCGGGGTGTGACATTCCTTTGTCATCGATCATCTTCATGTCGAGGTCAGGGATGATGATGTACTGCTGAGCTACACTGGTGATGAGGCAGTCCCCGGCGACAAATGGTTGATTGATTAGAGGCTACCCCAAAAATTGTTTTACTATGTTTTAACCTGATACATGAATGATATCCTTCCAGTTCATCAGTTGAGTTTTTATGGTTCATTAACCATCATTCACGCAGGGTTGACATTGACTACGTCTTGAATGTCGGATTCTCTGGCTTTATCCTTGCTATTAAATGATGGAGTATGCGGGCGCTCACCCAACTGATCACTTCATAGCACTACAAGATTGGTGACTGGTAATCCTACTTGGCAAGTACCATGTAATGTGGTTAAAACAATATACCATTTTTACATATTTTTACCACCTATTTTCCTGGGAATGGCAGCCATACCACCTATAAAACTAGTGATGACTGGGGGATGGTGTATGGCATTGTTTTAACCACATTATAAGTCATTATACGTATACCATGGTGATTCTATTTGGGTATGGGTCAACATATGTCAAAATGTAAGACCTGGAGGACCGCATATAAGTCTATTTTTAGTATTAGCCATCCACTTATTGGGGTCCCCAATTTAGCAATTTTGTCTCATGCGTAGTTATAGATGTGTTTTCCGTTGAAACTGATATCTAATGTCTCCAGAGATGGCTAGCAAAACGAATGGTGCTGTCCTGCTGTCCATTGTCCAAGGGTTCCAGCACCAACAGAATTCCCTTCGTAAATCACCACATGAACATGACCATTCCCTTCGTGTGCAAACATACATAAAATACAATCATGATGGATGTTCATGGATTTTCTAGGTTCGTTTCATTCTTTCAGATATATATATATATATATATCGTCTGACCATGATTTTGAAAAGAAAGTTCCCCCTAAGACCAGAGATGACTTCATCGCACATGTCCTCTGTCCAGCCTACATTGGAGAACATCAAGATGCCCAGGGGGAAGGTGCGATTTTTTGCGCGGCTGGCAGTGAGTCTGAATTCTTCAGCGTTCGAATCCTCATAGAGGCCCAAAGAAAATACCATCTGGTTATTTAACATGGCCATGGAAAATCACCATTTTTAATAGGTAAACCATCTATAAATGGGCCATTTTCCATGGCTTTGTTAAATTACTAGAGGGTACATGTTGATAATGTTGTTGGGACTGTGGAATAACTCCCTTGATTTTTAAGCGCCACTTTTCATGGGGCATGAGATATTATGAGATTTGTCATGGGTTCATGGGTGCATCTGATATCCCAAAGATCAATAGCTTAAATGGCGCTGAAAAAAGCTGACATGTCACCTTCTACTCGGGACTTGCCTGGCGAGAGTCCCAAGAAAGATGGATTATTTAGGGACTACGCTATGATTCATCTATGATATGTTTTGTGTGATTCACATTCTATTTGTTGAAGGGGATCCCAATAATGCAAGCTGTGTGTTTGCCTGTTAATATCTTTTGTGATTAGACTGCAGAGCTATTTTCATCGAATCAGCAAGAGATAAGAAACTCAAAATCAAGCTTGTCGTTATGTCGAGCCGACTCTAGTTGCTTGCTGCATGACCACCGTAGTTCAGGCACCAATCATAAGCTGGATGATACTACAAATGCAAAATAAAAAGGGATTGGTAGGGACTTGATTTGCCCATGATTGTTGGATCTTTATTCCGGCCTAACCTTGGCCCATGTGAGGAGTTGTTTTATTAATGCCAAGGGAACCGACACCCAAAACGCCGGAGCTCCATCATCCTCAGGTTCTCTTGAAACTGCTTGAGGAGGAGAAGGAGCGTCTCTCAGAAAACGCACAGGGCGCTGTTTCGTCCCACGTTTTGAACCGGTCAAAGGTCAGGTTGATAGCGGATTTAACATGATTTATCCATCCAAAATTAGGGACTTGTCGGACTTGCCAGTATCGGTCACATTTCTTGGGTCCAAAAATGGAAGGCTGAATATGGTTTATATGTCAATTACAATGCTAAAAGAACACCCAGTATGAGGGCCCATTTTGAGCCATAGCCAAATCAGAGTATAATATATAATATATAGTATTATGAAATCGTAGAGACGATGAGGACCAACAACAACATGGCGTTATGAACACTACGAATACGAGGATTATGAATACTCACATTCAGCATAATATGGGTATGGGCAAAGATTTATGTCAAGGAAAAGACATACTGTTGGTTATTATCCATCCTTTTTTTGGGGGTCCGTGTGTCCCCTGCAATCCAACAGCAGGATCAGCAACTTCTTTGGAAATAGCAATGTTTGGTTTCCATCCCATGGCGTAGGGGATTGACCGAGTCCACCGGTGGTATCCGATGGTTCCACATATTTAAATGGTTCACGCCTGCTTGGAAGGATGGATTCGATTATCTATATACTTAGACGGGCCATGGAGTTAGTGAATTGCGTATCTTGTTGCAGCTATTCATGCTTATGCCATATATATCCATTATATATCTACTTAGCTACTTATGTTTGGGGAAAAAACCTAGTGAAGCAAACCAGTTGGCTAACCATGGCGCTAACGCCACAGGAATCCCAAGGCGGCATCTTGTTGTCCAAGGTGCCGGATCCGGTGCCTGGAATGGGGATCGGATTGGGGTAAAACCATGGCTACAAGGTGGATATATTTATAGGAAACCATGGGAAAATGTGGATTTAATGGGATTTATCACTGATTTATGTTAGCTAAGTTGGTGAACATAACTCCAATAACTATGGTTTATGGTACGCAAATAACTATAGTATTCATGGGGTTTATAAACCAACAAACATCACTGGGGGGCACCACCTTGTACCCTCTGGTAATGACTAACATAACAAAATGGCCATAGAAAAAGGGAAATGTCCCATGAAAAATGGTGACTTTCCATAGTTATGTTAGTTTACCAGAGGGTAAATTGCCGAACTATTTTTTGGTCAACGATTGTTTCATTTTTTTCGAATTTCCCCTGAATATATTGGCTATCGAGTGGTGAGGGAGTGGTTCCAAGCTATGAGTCTCCATATTCCCAATTACTTGGAAGCCAAGCAGCTAGCATCAGCTAGCGTTTGCCTATACCTCATGATACTTGGGACTTCTTGGAATTTAAGCGTCAAAAATCGTGCTTTCATCGGGATATTACTGATCTTATGGGGATTTATCTTGCCCATCTTGGAGTGTCTTTCCCATCAACTTCAAAGGGATAAAATTGGATAAAACATACACCGTATGGGATAAAATTGGATATAAGCCATATACTTTGGTGACATATGATGAATTCCATAATTGGAAATTAACACAATGGATATAAGTTGGATATACCATTGATGAAATTTCGATTCCCATGGATGACCATAAGCCATATACTTTGTTTTGACCATGGCACATATGGTGCTATTTCAGACATGCGTTTCTGGTGGGAGTTCCCTGTCGACCGCAGGTTTTTGGGTTCGACTTTTAACCTCATTTGTTGAACGGTAGCACTGGGGAAGGAAAGTCACGCAAACATTATTTCACATTATCCCCTCCCCAGCATTCCTCAATAGATGGAACATTATGGAACATCAGTAGCGAGCAAACCTTTGAACACTGCCAGGATATCTTTCTATTCCCATCTTGTATGGGTTCAATCCCTTCTGGTCATTATTAGTCATGTCATGTCCTTCAACATAGTTACTATAATTATAATCCATTAACAAACATGAACTCGGTCCAGTTGCACAGTTGCACAGTTGCATCAAAATTCACCAAGTTTTGCAGTAAGAAATCTACCAGCACTAAAGATGGTATACACTCTAGTATAGATGATGTTGATTCAGTACACTTGGGTTTGTCTGAAAATCCGGCAGGGCAAGCAAGTTTCCATTGTCAATTGTTCATTGGTGATCTACTCATGTTTCATGCTTTACTTCCTATGCTTATTGGTTTCATGCCGGCCCAGGGAGCCGCAAAGCCTGATACCACGGTGGGAGAGGTCCTCCACAGCCGACATCTCACTGCTTCAATTAGCACCTGTGAGATTCTGGCTTGTAAAGCATCAAATTGATGGGGATTTACTAATAGTAAACCAACTTTCCATGGTTTCCGTAGTTTCCATAGTTTTTATCTCCAACTTTAGTAACCCCAAAAAAGATGCAGAAAAGTTGGAATGGAAACTATGGAGGATACATCACCTAGAACATCCCCAATTTAAGCATCCAAAATGAGGCTTTGAATTGGATATGGGTTAAATTAATTAACCAAAACAGATTGTTCAAACTCCTGATATTTGTCCGATGTTCCAATAGTAAGTCCACTTGTACCTCAATTTTGACACATATCCATGTATGTTTAGGTTACATACTGCATACATTGATGTGCAATCATGTGCATGTTTTTTTGAAGTAAATGTGAGTGCAAATACCATACATGAAGAATGATTTGGATGATGAGTCACCATCCCAGATCTATGTTTCAATGTGCTTTGACCTGGAACTGGGGACGACAACAAGTTTACTGTGATTGAGCCACAAATTGTAAGTAGCACGGACACCTCATTGTTGGTGCAACATTGGAATCCTTGGAAGATGGATGATTGCCGATCCACTTCGGAGGGAACAACTTTTGGAAGACTTGGTGTTGCTTCCACTTTGGCTTCGGTCGAAGCTAAATATTCCCAGAATGGCAGTTGTTCACATCCTATTTGCCCGGTTCCACGTACTTTTTGGATGTTGAAGAGATTACCAGGGTTTTGACTCATGCAGAGTCAAAATATAGAGGGTTTGGGTCCAAAGTCCGGGCATGCACAGTCCAAAGCCTGGAAGCAAATATCGACTGGACAGTTTTGAACATTTGCCCAAGGGATGGGTCAGTTGACTGACATACATACACTGGTTGGTGGTGACTGGAACATGTATTTTATGACTTTCCATATATATATATATATATATTGGGAATAACCATCCCAACTGACGAACTCATATTTTTCAGAGGGGTAGGTATACCACCAATCAGTACACCTTTCCATGCTTATCAACACGCGCTAGGGCCGCTGCATGGACATCCATTGGCACACCATGAGTCGTTTTTCGTGGTGCAAAGGTTAAGAATCTTGCACCTGGTAACTGGGTAAACAGTCACGATTAGCCATCTGATATGGTGGTGACCCAGTTCGGTAGCTAAGTTGGTAAATACAACATAATATGACTAGATTAACCGTTGGATTTTTATGGTGAATGATGAAATAACCATAGCTAGATGGACATAAACCAGCTGATCACTGAGCACGCCAGTCATGGGATATCTCCACTTTCCTGGAACATCGAACTTGACTTGGATGGTTTTCTCCACATCAACCCATCCAAGTCTCATCTGGTATTCCGAAAATGTGTTCAAAGCAGTGCTACAACACACCTTTTCGGGTTGACGTCCCATCCTGAGTGCCGAAAAGAACCAACTTTGCTCGCCTCGCGCGGTAGGTTGTGGCGGTAGGAGACGATGATCTGGATCGCAATGGCAATCCGGTGCCAATGGACTGTGGCTGCGTTGGGGCAATGGTGATGGTCTCACCATGGGACAGGGTCTGGTACTGGGAAAGATCACTATGGAGTATGACCTTGTGCAAAATTTAGGTAAACTGGTTGGTCGTTTGGAGCATGACTTTTATGACTTTCCATATTTATTGCGAATGTCATCATACCAACTGACTTTCATATTTTTCAGATGGGTGGCTCAACCACCAATCAGTAAATCATGGAACTGAATGCTTCATTTTACATTGCGATGTTCAATTCCCAGAGGCTAAGTTGGGCTGGTTCGGATTGAAGCAGGGGGCCTTTCAGAGCTGTGGATTGAAGCCAGATCTTCGAGGGTCGATGGGTCAAAACCGGGCATATTTTGGGGGATAAACATCCATTAGCCATCTATTTTAGGGTACCTAGGGTACCTACGGGAATCCACAGGATGACCGGATGGTGCCGTGACTTGCGACTATCATGGTAGTGCCATGGTAGAAGCGTTGGACTACACAAAGCCATGTTGGGGGAAAGGTTATCAATATCTGGTTGGTGGTGACTGGAACATGAATTTGATTTTTCCATATATTGGGAGAATCTCAACTGACTAATATTTTTCAGAGGGGTTGAAACCACCAACCAGATATTCAATTACCCTGGGATATATATCCCCATAAAAATTGGAGAATGTCTGGCGGAAAAAAAAAGGCAAAAAAAAACACGCTGTGACCTGCTGGTTTCATGCTGATCTAATTGTCTTTTTGTTCCAAGCCACAAATCATGAAGCAGTGCAGGACGTGGCCGTGGGCGATCTAGTCCGATTCAGGTTCGGCAACGAGGTGCGCCAGGGGGAAGGGGATGGGGTGCTCTGATCCTTTTTTTTGGCGATGGTTGTGGCCCAAGAAGATTTGGTTTCAACAAGTTTGGAGCCTTTGGATTTTATATCTTGATTTATAGTATTTGGATGTACAGTATTTGGATGTAATTATTTGGTATATTTAACCACTTAACCATGGTTTACGGACGTTTCAATCTGGATTCCTCGCTCATGTGTATCGTGTAGTTTTACTTCATGAAGACACCCCCTCACCTCCGCAATATGTTGTCCAGGTATGCTACTTTCAGCTACATTTCGGTGACGATCGAATTTGGACCGGTAAAAAGGTATAGAAATATACCATACATGGATGGAATAGGATGTGTGTCCTGCCAGTTATAAGTTAGTTTACATGCTGATCTAGCATCAGCTAAATATAGATATATGATATGTGATATATCTACTATATAGTCCACGTTCCTTTTGATTTTGCCACGCAGACGTCCCTGTTCTGGCAACAGCTTGGACGAAGGGTTTTGTTTTGTCCGCCCGGTACTGCCTGTCAAACTGGGAAGATCGGCGGAGAGATACCAAGCTGATCCAACATGATGTATCCATGTCTGCAGATGATAATCCCAAACTACTGGGTTTCAATACTCGACTGGTCCATGTTTGTTTGGGGGTAGCCCCATGACTTAGGAAACCCCCATATAGTACGTATAGAGATATCTACTGGTTGGTGGTTTGGAACCAGGGAATTTGATGACTTTCCATTCAGTTGGGAAGAACATGATCCCAACTGACGAACTCCATCATTTTTCAGAGGGGTGGCGAAAAACCACCATAAAGAATCATAATACGGTGGCTATGACAGCACAAATGACGATATTTTTTTGGATTTTTGAGGATGACCTAAAACAAAACCATTCTGGTTGCTGGGTTTTTCTGGTCCTAAATCCCAAATGATGATCATCATTTTCCACCAGAACAACGATTGATCCTTGCGGATGGTTCCCCCCCGTTTTCAGGTCAAACTGGACATCGCCAAGTCAGAGTTTCGGTCAGTGTCCGCATCAGAATGTGCGGAAGCCCGGCCGTTTTCGGTTGCCGGGTTTCCAGTGGACAGATCTGGGGCTGATTGAACATGGAATCGTTGTTTCGGGAACATTTACCCTCCGGTAGTCAAACGTGGCGAGTAAATCCCCAAACTGAATGGACTGAAAATCACCGTGGGTTTTCCATTGCCATGTGTGATTTCTCCGCAGGGTATGTGTACAGAAAATAAGACACTTGAAAGACTAGAGCATACATCCAAGAATTTAGGCATAGAAGCCATTGTTGCAGTCCATCAAATGAGTGCAGAAGTAGTATAGGTGTTCACCCGAGCTTAGTTTCGTACAACCCACGGTATAAAAATAAGTTGATGCCCTGCTTGCCTTAACAAAACAGCAGTGCTTGCTACGCATTGGAGCTAAAAACCCAGATGTCTTCGAGCTATTTTTCGCTGCAACATGCTCCAGCAGTTAATTGTTGAAACCACCAAGCGGTAGATGATTGGTTTGAAAACCGACCAGTGGATCAGTGGATTCATCACTTCAAGTTGTAGATTTTCACGTATCCACTCGTGGACGAGTTTCCTCGTGGGGACAGAAATCTCAATGGGGTTGAGAGTGTTTCATCATGTTGCGATCCCAGCTTGATGGGAGCATAGGCCGCATTTTTTGGAAGGTGCAAACACTTGCGCTTGTCTCAGAGTGGATGAATGGCCTATAACATTTGCCTTGGCCGATCATTTGTATGCTAGATTCCATGCTGACTGATTGAAGCAGCGTCAGAATCTACAGCATATATACCCAATAGACTGGCTAAGACAAAAATTTGTCTAATAGACAAATTTTAAAAATTTGTCTTAGACAAATTTTCGCTCGACAGATTTGTCTAAGACACGAGTCTTAGACAAATAAAATTTGTCTAAGTCAGATTTTTGCCCACCCTCCACGAGGAAGTTTCGAGGAAATTTCCTGGAAATTTCCTCGTGTGTTTTGTGAAACTGCCTTCAAACTACCTCATGCTTTAAAGGGAAACTTCCTCACTTTTTTGGGGATTTTTGGGGAAACTGCCTCACTATTTCTCTTACTTTTTGCACACCCTCCACAAAATGATGGAAAAATGATAAGGTAGTTTGGAGGCAGTTTTGGAGGCAGTTTTGAGGCAGTTTGAAAAAAATCTGATGTAGTTTCAATTTGTCTAAGACAAAAAAAATTGTCTAAGACAAATATTTTTTGTCTAAGACAACTTTTTTTTTGTCTAAGACAAATTTTCAAAATTTGTCTTAGACAAAAAAAAGTTGTCTTAGACAAAAAAAAATCTACCTAATAGTCAGATTTCTACAGAATAGGGATTAGACAATTTTTTGTCTTAGCCAGTCTATTGGGTACTTCAATGGAGAAGCATAACCTATCTGGCAGACCTTCTTTCTATACCTGTGACAGCATAGACGAGATGTTCTGACGACACGGTTTTCCACTGCTCCCAGGTTTTGACCAGAAAAAAACTGTAGCTCTCCCGTTTTCAGTGTTTGTCTTGGCTCAAAAATCCTGAATTTGATATACTTGGGTTATACTTAAGGGCTCAGAACCCCAGTTCTGACATGTGTTGATGGTTACTGTGACTCCATACCCTGAAGTATCTGTATGGATTACAGTCCCATTTGCCGTTTGCCGGGAAAACGGCAGTTCGGTTTGTCAAATCCAGATAAATCTCCTAATTTCTTGGTAAACAAAGCCCATGTTGTGCCTGATGTGAGGTCCCATCCAGACACAGTTTGTTGGTTTGGTCAACATGTTGCCAGCATTGTTACCCACAAACATGTAGAGTATTTTACAATATATATGTATATATATATATATGTTTAATATACATATATTTAATATACATATATTTACCAGCAAATTTCACCGCAATTTTGATATTTCTCTGCCACCATTTTCCACACCTGCTCTTTTGCTGAGGCCTAGCTAAGTGGACCTCCTAGAAAGTTCGGATTTTCCCAACGGGCGGCTACCAGTGCGCCAACGCCAAGGAAGATAGTGAGTATGATCAAAATGGTTGGGATTCAACGATCGAAATCGCAAAGATGATCCAATCAGAAATTAAAAAACACCAACCCAGAAATGGAATTGGATGGACAGATTGAAAGTTGATGGTTTCCTTTGATAACATTTTGTCCAGGGTGAAATTCGTGCATGAAGGAGAAGAATTGAGACTTCATTTCAAACCAGAGACATGACTCAAAGCCTCACTAGGCTACCTATTGTTCGTGGAAGAACAATGGCAATCTACTTTATCATCAGTTTCGACATGGTTGGCCCGTTTCTCAACACTAGGGGGACTGAATGAGCAACTGGCGGCCACTCAAAGGGAAGATGCAGTGAGTTTTGGACTGATAGCACCAAAGCTCTGTCAACACTGGACGTGCTGGCTGGGCATGCTGCGTCGGTCGACATTGGTTTTGGGATGCTGTGTCAAGATAAGCCATGGATGATGCAGATATATTGGTTGCAAGCCTTTAGTTTCTAGCGTCCCCGGAAAAGATCGAAAAGTAATGTTTCACTAATTGAATGGGGTTTCACTTTTCGATTTTTTTAGGGATTGCTGAGTTGCTGTAATATTTTTCGTGGATATCACCAAAGCCAGTTTTTGCTGGGGACTCAAGTTGTTCTATAAACCTCTCCCCGAGTTTCATATGCCACGCTGTTCCTTTCTTCGAACTTATGCATCCAAATGTCACCATGTAGATCGACTAAAACAATAAGGACAAAACGTTGTTTGCTTCTTGATTCCAAATGCATGTCATACTGATATGTTCAGATTCTCCACGGGAAATGAACTTAGCCTTCCTTTTTCCATGTGAACTCAGCACAAACAGCCAGCTACTTCCATTCATAGGTCCATGAGTTTCTGATGTGAACATCAGTTATCATACTCCAGGACATCCCATGAATTGTTGTGAACTCACATCCAACGTCCAAAAAATCAACATTTGATGATGTTTCCCTTCCAATCTTTGACATATATAAATAGTGTGTATGTTCTGTAAAGCTAACGCCAGACACATATCATATCATCATATATCATCTATATGTAGTTTGTGTATGTATAGTGTGTATGTTTGTTAAGATCCTGTTGGCCTGTTGGCTTCCCAAAGAAAACGTCAAAACCTGCATGCCCCTCTGCTGGATCCGGCACCTTGACACAACCAATTCCCCTCTGCTGGACGCCGAATCTGAGTCCGGCGGCCTAGGCGGGTAACTGAGCCCCGGTCGACGAACATGAGCGAAACTGCAATCGTTAAGGGGAAAAAGCCATGAAAACATAGCTGATATAGCTGTTTACCATGGGTTTTTTACATGTCTTTTACACTTTTACCATGGGACTTTTGGGGTGTATACCATTGTATAGACTTTTTTTCTATTGACCCATACTGGCGATGGCGATGGTTTGATACTCACGGACTTCAGATTGGAAATGGGCGAGATAAACCATGAAATAACCAGAGCTACTTCCCTCTGGCAGCTCAAAGTGACAAATGTTGGCCAACAACTCGAGGACCATTCCAGTTTGACCTCCCCATGATTACCTGCGTGGGAACCGGGTGTACAGAGCCGACGGAGTTTTGAAAGACCAACAGACTGGTACCATGCTGCAGCGGGAACAAAAAGGGGCAGCACATGGCAGCACCAAGTGATGGTCGGCTGATGCCCCAAAATCGCCTCGTGGCGGAGAAGTACTCTCGTTGCGGTGACTGATGCGTCTCGAAGTGGTGCTTTGCGATGCCCAAAACTCATGACCCACCTTGCAGTTGCATGTTGAGTTGTCGCGAAAACGCAGATCAGTCGCGCCTCCGCCTGTTGGCAAGAAATTGAGAAACCATCACATATCACAATAAATATCATGATTACCTTCGCAAGCATCGTTTCACAAACGTTGCGTTTAAGGATAAGTGCGGGACGAATTCCAAGCGCCACGTGCCACGAAAGACGAAATCCAACCGACTTTTTTTTCCCACGCGCACATCGACATGTCGTTTTGGCCTGCGGTGCGGCTGACGTTTCGCTCACGCGACGACCAACCTGTTGCGTTTCAACCTGTTCGCGTCCTTCGAAACGGACTGCGGTGAAACGAATTTCGCCAGGCATCTCAACCCGATGATTTGAACGGAAAACAGTCGAAAAAAAGTCGAAAAGAAGAACGAGCTTCGCACGACGCGAGAAGTCGAGGCAAAATTGACGACAAAAACTGGGATGAACAGGAACTCACGACCCACAAAGTTGAAGGACTCACTTACGACACCGGCTGCTGTTAGTGGGGCGGGGTGGGGCCGGGTGGCAATAAAGTTTGTGCTCACTTGCACATGCAGTTTCACTGTATATTATTGATCATCCGGTGAGGTGGGTTGGGTCGGGGTGGGGTGCATGGTATGAACGTTTGTGTTCACTTGCGCCCGAATGTTCACTGCACATTGCTCATGGCGTATTAAATCACATGATCCTCATGATAGATCAGAAGACGAAGTTAATCCAAAGAAGGAGCGCAAATGTAGTCTATGATACAGAGGAAGAAGAAGAATAACAAGAAGAAGAAGAAGAATATGTTGTTATACATGGTACATAATAGATCAAACGAAGAAGTTGAATCGTAGTACTAGATCAGAAGAAGAACTTGAAGTGTAGTCATAATTATACAAGAAGTGAAAGCATAGTATGTGACAAAGCGGCGTCACAAGCGAGGCACAAAACGACATCGCCAGCGAAGCCAAAAACGTCGTCACAAGCGAGGCCCCGACCCTCACGGTACATCACACTACCAATAAGGAGAAAGAAACGTGTAGTATGTGTAATGACCTGTCATACTCCGTATAATCTGGTGTGCTAGCTATACCGGTACCCCAATTGGAATGCGATCTTAACAAATTCTTATTAGGTTCACTTTACTTAAGTTTCCTTATGTTACCTTACGTTGAATATCGTTAAATCCTGTGTCTCAACTAAGAAATGGAGGTCTATAATGGGTCTACAGAAATCTAGCGTCACCCTCCTCCCATGAATTCCAGCCCCAGGAAAAGGAACCCCACCTGAAACGACCCATCGTTGGCGTTCGCCCGGTTCATATTCGCGAAGGAAATGCATGTGCACACATTAATATGAACCTTGAAGTTAAGGTTGTTTACACAGGTTGTTCTCAATTATCAAGCTGCTGTTATGACCCACTCTGTTCATCTATTCAGCTGCGTTTGGTTGCATGTCGCACTTTGTGAGGTGAAGTTTGAAATTTGAAAACCCTCAAGCTAGAAAGATACACAATACCAAAACATGTTTTTCACAAAAGAAAGCAAGTAACAAATATGAGGCATCGTCAAAACTCCAATAGACAGACCACAGAGAGTCCTATCTGGTGACTGGAAAGCGCGCCCAACACTGTGTAGCGATAGGCCTCCCACAAGAGCAACACCTAGAATCGTGCATAATGTCAACATCTGCAGCAGTTCTCGATAAAGTTGCGTACACGCAAGAGGCGACGTTAGCGATACCCCTAACATTTCCCTAGCGAAATCCACGTGTTTAAAAAGGAAACGCCACACCACAGAGAGGCTCTTTCTTCCTTTCCTTCCTCTTTCTTTCCTTTGCCATTCTTCTTCCCGAATCAGAGACGCTGCCTGCTTCCTTCCCTTCCCTTCCCTTCCCTTCCCTTCCCTTCCCTTCCCTTCCCTTCCCTTCCCTTCCCTTCCCTTCTTTCCCTTCCCTTCCCTTCCCTTTCCCTCTTCCTTCCCTTCCCTTCCCTCTCCTTCCTTCCTTCCTTTGGTTTTTCTTTTTCCTCACTTGCCAGGTGAGGGTCTCTAGATTTTAGCAAAACTTCACATACCTTACAGCCACATACCTGGACACACACGACTAGTTTGCCATCTTTCCTTCTCTGGGGCGTGCCGGACATATTTTTCAAAATATATTCAACGGTGGGTATCATTCAAAGAATGTAATTAATTCTGTATGTGCTTCATTGTTTTTCAATTGGTGTGTTCCTTTTTGTGTCCTTTGTTCCAATTTTTCTTTCTTTTTATTTCCTGTGTTTTTCCTTTGTCTTTCCTGTTTCTTTACTTTCCTTCCTCCTCTTCCTTTTTCTCTTCCTCTTTATCTTCCTCTTTCTCTTGCTCTGTCTCTTCCTCCTTCTTTTCCTCTTTCTCTTGCTCTTCCTCGTTCTCTTCCCCTTTCTCTTCATCTTTCTCTTCATCTTTCTCTTCCTCTTTCTTGCTCCTTTGCCTCTTCCTATTTCTCTTCCTATTTCTTTTTCTCTTCCTCTTTCTCTTCCTTTTCCCTTTCCTCCTTCCCTTCATCTTCCTGCTCCTCTTCCTCGTCCTCTTTCTCTTCCTCTTCCACTTCCTCTTGCTCCTCTTTCTCGTTCTCGTATTCTTTCTCTTTCTCTTTGTCTTCCTTTTCCTCTTGCTCCTCTTGCTCCTCTTGCTCCTCTTGCTCCTCTTGCTCCTCTTGCTCCCCCTCTTGCTCCTCTTGCTCCTCTTTCTCTCACTCCTCTTTCTCTCACTCCTCTTTCTCTCACTCCTCTTCCTCCTCTTCCCCCTCTTCCTCTTCCTCTTCCTCCTCTTCTTCTTCCTCTTCCTCCTCCTGTTCCTCCTGTTCCTCCTCTTCCTCTTCTTCCAACTCTTCAGCCTCTTCCTCTTCCTCTTCCTCCTTTTCCTCTTTCTCCTCTTCCTCTTCCTCCTCTTGCTTCCCTTTCTCCTGTTCCTCCTTTCCTCCTCTTCCTGTTCTTCCTCCTCTTCCTCCTTTTCCTACTTTTCTTCCTCTTCCTCCTCTACCTCCTCTACCTATACTTTTCATTTCTCTTCCTCTTTCTTTTTCTTGCGAATTTACCTGTGAAACATGGTGTCGAACTCCACAGCAATTTGAGCACACACACAGAAACGAGACCTGCTCCAAGGCAATCTCGGCACGCACTGGCCCGGAGCGAGCTCCAGATCAGTGTGGGCACGCACGGGCCCCAACACATTCCAAAAGAAATGCAAGATAGG